TTGTTGGATAAGGCAAAGGTCACAGGACGGCACAAGGAACATCGGCAGAAAGGGCCTCCATATCACACTGGGCTGGGTTGGGGACACCAGCCCAGGGAGATGAGGTCCGGAAGGATGAACAGGCAGGAGACCAGTGAAGGAATGACTGAGTAGGACTTGTTAGGCAGGGCAGGGATCGAGCCCAGAGAAGTGAGGCGATGTTGGATATTGCCTGGGAAGTCCCACCGGCTGAGCCGCCTGGAGAAGGGATTCCGGTTGAGAGCTGAGGCCTTACTAGCTTGGCAGGGTCTTGTGCGTGGGGGCAGCGAGAGCTCTTGAAAGATTAAGTAGGGGCAGTTGGTGTGTTCTGGAAGAGTTGTGGGTGAAAGTGGATCACAGGGCATGGCAAGATGAGAGGTAAAGGGATGAGAAAATGTGGTCCCCCTGCAGTGTGCGTCAGGGAAGCCCACACGCTGCATGTTCAAAGGCCTCCAATTCAATGATGGCAAACAACAAAAAGAAGCAAGAAAACAAACCAAACCTTAGTTCAAAGAGTAGACCTTTGATCCAGGCGGTTCACAAACAATAACAGCGGCGGCAAACAACGCTCATCTAGTAATAACTCCACGGCTACTTTTATTATGAAAGCAGATGTCTGAGCCGCTGACTTTTCTAGCAACTTTTGGGAGACATTTAAATCCCTCTCGCTGGCCCTTTGTTCCTGTGTTGCCATGGAGTGTCAATAAGCCCAGCTCAGAATAACCCGGGCAGTGAGACGGGAGTACAGCTTGCTCACTGGCATGTTGGCTGGCCAGGTTACACTGTTTTCATTGCTCCCGTCTTGGGAGGAGCACCGGGCAGCTGGTTGCCCTGGCAGCTGTGAAAGGTGTATGTCTCTTGGCTGCCCAGAGTTTGAAATGCAACCAAAACTTGCCTGCCTACTGAGCATGTGCAGCTCCAGATTGATCTGATAGCAACTGAAAATAGCTCACTGAGCACCTGTCCCTTGTACACCAGCCCCTGGCCGACTGCCATTGAGGACAGTGTGGACTCACTTGGTGGATAGGTGAGGGGCTGGGTAGATTTCAATGGTGTTTAGGAAGATCTTGGGAACCTTGGCTATGGCTTAAAAGGAAGAAAAAAAAATCAGCAGGCTCTTCGGAGCTGTTCTACTTGGCGCTTCTGTGGTTAGTGGGTGGCCACAGTGGCTGTGTATGTACAGTATGTGGTGAAGAATCCACACAGTTCTCTTTGCTCAGCCAAACTGTGGTCCAATAGACTGAGAGGTAGAGTTTTCTCTTGGAGGGAAAGGCTTTCCTACAAGCACTCCTGGATAGTAGCCATCCATGGTTTATGCTGCCTTCGCTTAGAAACCAATTGAGATAAACTAATTTCCTACTTGCTCTTTAATCCCCAATGATTGTCAGCCGATCACTTCTACAAGGTGTCTCTGAGCTAAATTATTCTTTCTCAGCAGTCCAAATTTGGGCACAGAATAGAGTCGCAGCGTGTTGGGAGCTGTCTGTTCCCCTTTGGGACTCCTTCCATTTACTTCTGGGCTTTCATCTCTTCAGCGGGTTGCCATTGTTGGGCATGCTTGGCACGCCAGTGTGGATGGAAGCAGACTCTGGAAGGAAATACTTCTGAAATGACTGGTGGTATTAAAGCTACTATTTAAAAGTGACCCTTCGTAGATACTTGGGTTATCTTTAGGCCGTCAGTGCTCTGCAGCTCCAGGAGCCAAAGAGAATCTGCGGAAACGCTGGCCTGTGGCTCGCCGTGGTTTGTGTTTAGATATTCTTGCTCTCTTGCCAGTGGCCTCGTGACACGTCTCGGCTTCAGCTGCCTTTCTTCTGCCCAGGCCCACGATGACTGTGGAAGCTGGGAATGGTGTGCTCTGCCACAGAGAGTGCGGGGGAGGGAGTGTGTGTTTGAAAAGCCAGATCTGGTTCACAGAACCACAAAGAAATGTTTCGGTTTCTACCTTCAGGGTCAACACCTGGAGCCTTTCTGTGGGCTCAGGGAGAATGACCAAAACTCCACCCGCTCATGGTGACTGTTGGATCTTAAGTTTATGGCTAATAAGCCTTCTTAAGGGTCTTAAATTTAGGAGTTAACAAATTCTTGTGAATCCTATTAATTAGACCGATAGGGGAGAGAAGATATACAATGCAAAGGTCAAGTGATAAAGTCTGGAATGCAGATGCACAAGGCTTATATTCATGGGATGGAAGGCATGGGGTTCATTTCTGCATTAACCTTTCATGGAGTTCTGCTAGGGCCCTGGGACATGAATTGGGAAATTGGGGGATAGGGAATAGCACTATGAGAGATGCTTGGGCTCTGCCCAGTTTCTCACCCTTGAATATCTTACTCTCTGTGGCCTCATCTGGGCAGGAAAGAAAACAGTCTAGAAATTACCTTGTTCCCTCTGTGCTTTTCTCTGGAGTCAGGTAGGGTAGGGAGCCAGGGAGGAGAAATGTAAGGAATTCCGCAGTTTTCACCTTTAGCTTTTGGGTTCCACAATGCCTGGAGGCTGGTTCTGTAAGACAGTTGTTCAACAAATTGGCGCAGTGCCCATCTTTTGAAGGGTTTATCTCTGTGGTTTGAAAGCTTCCGGAAAGGGTGTGGCAGTGTGGTGGCGGCTTGCAGATGCTAAGCAGAGCAAAGACTGGCTACCTTGGAGGCCTGTTCCCTGAGTCCCCGAGAAAAAGGCCTAGAGGAGGGCACCCGAGGGAAGGAGAGGTGGGCGCTGGGTGCTGAGGCTGCCCCCGAGTTCCTTCTCCACTGTCCTTTCCCAACTAGCCCTTGTTTAAGGCTTCCTTTAAAACCAAAACTTTCCATGTAGACCCTGGGTAGGCAATCTTCTCTGGAGCAGGAACAGCCAGAGGGACAGGAACACCTCTCCACTGAGAACAGACCTAGCCAGGAGCATTCTGTAGATGGTGCCATATCCCTGGCTCTCTCCTAAACCCGAACAGGGAGTGACTTTATGAAATGTGTATAACCCACCAGGACATTTCCCCTCCTCCTTCAGACTGCGGTACAATTACTTCCCGTGGCCGGAGTGTCCCTCAGACACGGGCATTGTCAGTATGCGGGATGGGGAGGGGGTATGTTCTCTCCACAAGAATCCCTCAGTAGGTCATTTCCATTAGGCCTTGCCATTGTTTGCTTTTCTGAAGCAGATTCAAGAAGTTTGAAAACACAAGTGAAGAAAGGGGTCATTCTTTTCTCCATGTTCATAGCCCTTTAGGAGCTGCTTCACAGACACGGCATCTGGGTGAAAGGCAAGTCTTTGATCCATTCAGGGGATCATAAAAAACATGGAAAAGACAGACCGATATTGTCTTAGGTCAGTGCCCCATAATGTTAGTCACTTAAACACAGACTGCGTTTTTGGCTTTGAAATGGAAGGTGTGGCTGCTGCAATAGGCTTCATTTACAGGGATTATTTCACAGACAGGGAGTCAGCCAGACACAAAATAAACAGATGGCACTTTTTCCCTCTCTCAGCTCTAGCAGTTCAAGTGCAGTATGACTTCGGAATCCTTATCACCTTCAGCAAAGCAAGAGGGGGAAAATGATGTAATTCGCTCTTCCCCGCTGCCTGCTGAGCACGCCGTTCTTTTCCCAATAGGAGAGAAATGGCAGCAAAGACCAGGGGCATGGTTTTCACTGCCGAGCAGCGAGCCCCGCATGACCCCTCTCAGCCGACTGGAGTCAGGCACTTACTGTGTTTTGATCGTAGAAGCCAAAAGTCCTCAAATCAACCATCCAAGGAAGGACCACTTGTAACAGCCCTGCTGCTCTATAATGTATTAATTCCCTGTTTTAGGAACTCCTGTGTTTTACCTCTTTCTCCTAGCAAACAAACAAGCAAACAAAAAACCCAGCACACCCCAAGAAGGATGGATTTTCCACACTTGTGAGCCCGGGTAGGAGAGCAGATGTGAGGCCGTGGCAAGCTGCTCTCGGAGGGAGTGGTTTGCACAGACATGCTGGCTAGGTGACTAAGCCTTGCCTTAAGATCTCTGCTGACATTTAAAGACTTTATGGGCACAGTCTGCTCTGAAAACCAGCATCATGTCTCTTCCCACCTCTGAATCCTTTCTGTGAAGAGAAAATTCATTCTGAAGCAGATAGTCCTCAGGCTGGTGGTACTCCTGCCAAGTACTGAGGCCGTTGAGGGGTCTGGAATGGTGAGCACAGGAGGCTCGGTTCCTACCCTCATGGGGCTCACAGTGAGGAAAGACTTAGACATTGAACAGGCGTACACACACGTTTGTGAGTGTGGACAGGTGGTTTCTACTTTAAATTTGGCTGTGTGAGCAAAGGCTCTTTGAGGAAATGATGTGTAAGGAAGATCTGAGGGGAGCATAAGAACTAACTAGGGGGTTGGGAGTGTCGGCAGGAAGGGAACTAAGCATCCAGGTGGAGGGAATTCCATACCTAAAGGGCCTGAGACCCTGAGGCAGGAAGAGGCCTTCTAAGAACTGAAGGGATCTGGGGGAAGGCTGAAGAGGCAGAGGTCAGGTCCACCAGGACTTTTGTAGGCCAGATGAATGATTTTGCCAATTTTGAGAGGAGTGGAAGCCAGAGAGCATCAGGCTTGTACATCTGAATAAGGGTGGCATTGGCTGAGTTAGGGAACCTTGAGGAAGAACACACCTGGAGTGGAGGCATCATGAGTTCAAAATCTTGGAAATCCTAACACCATTATTTTGTTGTTATTTGAATAGAATGTGATCTCATTCAAATTTTTCTCTTCTCTCTCTTAACTCCTAGAACACATTTTCTTCTTGGCTTTCCAACTTCAGCAAGTATCAACTTCTCTCATCAGAAAAAAAAAGAGTGATTTATCATGAGTGTTTTTTCATCAGAGCATTTGGGCACTTGGTATATTTGAGCCCTGAGCACATCGCCTGCCTGCCTGCTGCCAGACCATCAGATGCCCTTCACGCGGCGTTCCGGACGGACCTCTGTGTTTCTGTCGTACGAGCTGGCTTGCTGGCAGTGCTACCTGGCATTGCAGAATCCTTCCTTAAGCCTTTGTTTAATGCCAGAGACCTCAAATGCTTTCAGATTCTGGAGAGGTGCCAAACTGTACTCTCGGATTAGGAGACCATGGAAGGACTCCCATATCTATAAGCCCTCATATAAGCCGTCATTTTGAATGAATGAATCATTGATACTGTTGGAAGGAGTCCAGGGATGTTTGGCGTTCCTTTTTTAGCCTATAAAGTTCTGAGCTGTTGGACTTTTATAACCATCCTCTAATAACCACGTGTGTTGGTTTTTTTTGTGTGCTACTTTGAGGTGAGCCCATAAGAAATTCAGGCTGTTCCTGGGATCACAGTTAGAGACTGGTTTCCTTGTAGCATTTCCTCATTTGTTTGTTGTGTCACAGATGTTATTGGGAAATGTGGGGTTTTGTGCACCATTTAGAATGATGATCAGTTTAAATGCCTTAAAGCATCAGGGAGTGCATGACTAGACAGGTGTGAGGGAGAGAGGGAGAACATTGGGGAGAAGAAGTCCAAGTTCGTCCTGTTGTGCCTGGATTGCTCAAGTCCCACTCAAAACGCACAGGTGAACGCTTTTACTATGAGGTACAAGATTATCCCAGACTGTGGACAAGTTTGAAAAGTTCATGGCGCTCTTTGCTCTGCCTCTTCCTCTGCCAGGCTAGGATTGGGCCATGCGACTAGGTGTGCCCAGATGGCGAGGTATTACCCAGAACAAAACAGTCTTTTCAAAGATTTGGCTGTGGTGAACCCCTGAGTCCCGAGCCTGCACCTCTGTTTGGGGAGCCAGCCCTGGATCCTCCCAAGGGCCATTGAACTCTGCTGCTCCCAGCCAGACACAGGCTCAAGTGTGCTCCGGGGCCTTGCTCGGGATACAAAGGGCACGCGGTGCCAGCCATAACACTGAGTAATGCCGGGAGGTGCCTTCTAGAACAGACAATGTGGGCGAGCTCCTCAGAGAGGGAATACCTCTGGCTTGACTTTTAAATGACTAAATTATTGAAATCATTGTCGGTTAGGTGGAGTAGACTTGCCTTCTGCCAGGACACTTCCTGGTTATTTAATAGGCAAGTGTGAAATACTTCCTATCAGATGTGGCGCCTCCTGTCAGTACGGTGGGAGATCAGTCAGAGGAGGCGATTATCTTTATTGTGCACAGTATTCATATCACAGTCTGCGAGGTGAGAGGTCTGCAGACCCTTGCCTTTGGCCCTGAGAGGGGTTTTGTGATCATTCTCGTACCCTTACTCCCCTCCCACCACAATCCCGCCCCAAGTGAAATATCACAGGCCCACACATGTTATGGTTATTCCCAAAATTTGACAGGACTTTATAAAACAGTGAGTCATGGGCGTTCTGGGGCCAGCTGTGTTCCTTAGAATTGTGAATATTAAGATCTGAAAGTGCTGCTACCTTGCTTTTAACTTGGTTGAATTAGTAATCCTAGCTCGGAAAATCCTTTTGGCATCTCTTTGACTAATCCACTTTGCCGGATCAAGTTGCCAAAGTGGCATTTAACCAACGTGTATGCGTGTGCGCAGACGTGCGCATGTGGTCATTTTTCTGTTCCTAGGAACCTAGGGTCTTTATATTTGTCTGTATATGAAAAAGAGATACATGAAGGGCTCTGCTCATTAGTTATGTGGGAATGTACACATTCAGAGGGTGAAATGTGGATGAGAAACAAAATAGGACGAAGTTGGTGAAAGTTTTATGTTTTCCCATGAGCTAACTGCTGGACTGAGCTCATGGCTCCTCTATATCCGAGTTTGAGTTAATTATTACATATCATTAACAGCTGTCTTTCTTCCCTTTTTTTTCCTTGATTGTGGAGGGGAGGATATGAAAACTCTGTTGTTTTGACATCTTACTGAAAAGAATCACTAACTTAGAAGTAGTTAACCCTGATCATCTGTACTCAACCACCATAGGAATATAAAGATTCACAGAGACTGTTTGAGAAATGAATGAACCCCTTTGACTTAGTTTATGAGCCCATAGTGAGTACAGTGGGTTGAATTTCACTAAAGACCATATTTACTTGAGGCTGTTCAATTCTGGCAAAATTCTTTAGGTTACAGTCCAAACCTCTGACAGTCCCCACGTCCTGTTAGAAACCACCGACCTTGGAAAGGTCTTGCATCTGTGGATGCAGAGTTCAGTCTGGGCTGGAACTTTAAAAGTAGACTTCGCTCTGAGAGCACATTAGAAGAATTATTATTATTGTGTTTTTAAAAATTTGACAGTTTTTACTAGAACCACAAAGTGTCATTAATTCCTTGGTCCTCTGGACCATCCATTTCCATAGGATCAATGATCAGTGAGCCCTCTGTTGTCTAGAGTTACAGCTGTCCCTTGGTACCCTCTGGAGATTGGTTCCAGGACCACCCCCCAAGTCTGTGTATGCCCAAGTCTGTCATATAAAATGGCAAAGTATTTGCATACAACCTATGCGCATCCTCCTATACATTTTAAGTCTTCTCTCGATTACATATGTAATACAATGTAAATGCTATGTAAATAGTTATATTGTTTAGGGAAGTGGTCGGCAAACTCATTAGTCAACAGAGCCAAATATCAACAGTACTTCTTCAAAATAGACTCGCCCAGGCCGAAAACCGACTTCTGCGCATGGGCCACGAAGTTTCAATCGCACTGTACGTGCGCCCGCACGTGGTATTTTGTGGAAGAGCCACACTCAAGGGGCCAAAAAGCCGCATGTGGCTCATGAGCCGTGTTTGCCGACCACGGGTTTAGGGAATAATGACAAGAAAAAAGTCTGTACAATCATTGTAGGATTAACTACATAGTATAGACCAGTGATGGCGAACCTTTTGAGCTCAGCGTGTCAGCATTTTGAAAAACCCTAACTTAACTCTGGTGCCGTGTCACATAGAAATTTTTTGATATTTGCAACCATAGTAAAACAAAGATTTATATTTTTGGTATTTATTTTATATATTTAAATGCCATTTAACAAAGAAAAATCAGCCAAAAACATGAGTTCGCGTGTCACCTCTGACACGCGGGTCATAGGTTCGCCATCACTGGTATAGACACATCAGCAACAACATAACATTTTTTTTCTCCAAATATTTCTCTCTGGGGTAAATTGAATCTGTACATGTGGAACCCGCGGGTATGGAGGGCCAGCGTGCTTGTTTATAGTTGTTCCTAGTGCACCGTAGTACAGCGAGTTAAGTAATTCGTACTCTTTATCCATTATCAGTCTATGAACAGCGAATCACTCTCCTATTTTATTTTACCTCTTCATCCCAACTCTAACCCCTCAACCCCAACTTACTGTCAACAGACACAACCTCTTTAATGTGTTAGGTATGTATTCTTGGATATATGTAGTCTTTAAAAAATACTTTAGGGTTTTAAAATAGAGTCTTTATGTTTTGAATTTTACCAGAAATTGCGTTATTGCGGCATTTTTAAATATAGCCTTTCTTAATTTCCCTGCTGTAGATTACAAACAAGTCAATACGACCTACTAGCACCCTCCTCCCTTCTGCCCATCCGTTTCCCTCCAAAGAATCATCACCTGTCGGGCAACATTTGTTGGCAGCCCTCAGCCAGCTTTGTGCCATTCGAGAGTGGCAAGCATGTCTAGACTCCCTAGAAATATTATCTTTCAACTCGCTTTTGGCAAGTGTAAACTTTTTGCTGGATTATGTCAACAGATATATATATATGTTTCTCATCCTCATCGAAATAAATTGGTGCTGGAATTTCTCTTGGATTTCTCTAGGCAGGGAAAATAAAGACCATCTCTTGGCTCATTACAGTTTTTGCTCATTAAAAATGTCTGAGGGCTTTTGAGTCTCGGGGGGTGAGTTGGTGACATACATATACTGTCAGCGGCTATTTTGGATTTTCTGCTTCCAGGCATGTCTTTGCTCTTGGATAAGCCCCTTGTGGTTTTCAAAAGAACTAGCAAGTCAATTATAAATAGAAGGCCTTGTGTCTGTGTCTGCATGCACTTACTCTGTGGGACGAGGCACCCACATTTCAGTGGGCAGTGAACTATTTTCACTTTGAAGAGGGAAGAAGAAAGATTAAGAATGCCATTTTTCCCCCTTTTTGAGATAACCCACGTCTCTGCGCGCACCCACACAAATCTGTGTAAATGAACTTGACATTTTCAAAGACCTTACCTTAAGGTCTCTTAAAAGCACAGCCACCCGACCGGTTATTTTAAGAAAGAAGCAGTTATCTCGCAGACCTGTGGCAGAGGGTTCAGGATGAGAAGGCAGACGGTCTGTGCCTTCGACCATCCCAGGGAGCTCGGAATGTCCTTATATGAACAGTGCTAGGATGAATGTGGCCACGGCTAACTAATCAGTGGCTTCTAGGACGTGGCTGTTTATATTCTATCCTCACTTTCCTTCCCCGCTAGTAACTAGTGGAAACTGTTGTGACCAGCAAGTCTGAACTAATCGTTCTAACAAGAGGGCCCAGGGGCGAAAGAGCATATGAAAAATGAAACTGCAAATGAGGGTTTCAGAAAGAGACAGGAGTCTGCTGAGGTCTGCTTCCCTGACGATACATTTCTGCCTCTTTCCATTGCGTCGTAGGCCCACCAGGTGCGGGCTGTGCCTTGGATCCCATCTGTGACCTTATTGTTCAAACATTGTTCTGCTCCCTTTGTCTTCTTGTGCCCTCATCCTCAATAACTGCTGCCAAACTTTTTTTCTGCCACTTGAAAATATGTCAGCAGCTATGAATTTCCGTTGTAATTAATGTAAAAACTTCAGTATTATTACTGTTTAAAAATTAGTCTAGGCATCTAGCTTAAAGTATTGATAATATGGGTTTGTAATTTTAGACTTGTAAACTCTTACCATGTGGTATATAGCTGAAGCAGACCGGTAACAGCAGGACCGTGACCATTTCTTGTATTACTGGTTGATGAAGATTTGTATGGAGCTAGCAGGAATGGGCATTAACAGCTGCCATAAATAGGTTGTCCCCCAAAAACGTATACACGCTTTAACAGCTAATAGCTCAATTTTGAAAACGAAATGTACTTTTTTAAAGCTTTATTGTTGAAAGTATTACAGATGCCCTCTTTTCCCCCCTTGATCTCTCCTAGCCCACCCCTGACCCCCCACCCCAGACTTTCACCATCCTATTGTCTGTGTCCACGGGTTATGCATATATGCATACAAGTTCATTGGTTGATCTCTTCCCACCCACCCTCCCCTCCTGCCTTCCCTCTGAGGTTCAGAAGTCTGTTCCATGCTTCCATGTCTCTGGATCTGTTTTGTTCATCAGGTTATTTTGTTCACTAGATTCCATGTATGAGTGAGATCATGGGATACTTGTCTCTCTTTGACTGGCTTACCTCGCCTAGCGTAATATTCTCCAGGTTCAAAACGAAATGTAATTTAATAAACACTGCCTTTATAATTATTCAAAGTGTGTATTCATTTTTTGGCACACACTATATTTAGGAACCATCCTTTTTCTTACACAAAATAAAAGAGATGAGCATTATGTTCTGGTAAAACATTTCATTTTGATGAAGGAATTAGGAGATGAGGGCCCATTGGGCTGAAGATAACACATAAACCACAGTGGGAGAAACTCATTTTCTGGAGCCTGTGGACAAATGATAACCACTCTTTGGCCTAGTAGAATCTAAAAGAGTACACAGCTTATATAAATGAGTTTATATACTCAGTAGTGATTATCATTTGGTACTTGGTCAAGTGAGAGATACAAGACCACAGAATGTGGACAATGGTCTTGGAGAAACTGTCTTATTCCCCCCATGGGTGTATAATCCATTCAGTGACTCCCCCTCTTCCTCTCTATCCTTCTACAGATGAGAAGCCCAAGGTGAACCCCAAACTGTACATGTGTGTGTGTGAAGGCCTCTCCTGTGGGAACGAGGACCACTGTGAAGGCCAGCAGTGCTTCTCCTCACTGAGCATAAACGATGGCTTCCACGTCTACCAGAAAGGCTGCTTCCAGGTCTATGAGCAGGGGAAGATGACCTGTAAGACCCCGCCATCGCCTGGCCAGGCCGTGGAGTGCTGCCAGGGGGACTGGTGCAACAGGAACATCACGGCCCAGCTGCCCACTAAAGGTTCTCACGCACTTGTCTGTTTTTAGATCAAGGGTTTTTGTTAGTGTTGGGCTGATTCTCTGTGGGTTACAGATGGGAGTGGCTCCAAGGCTTTCCTCCAACTCTTTGAACCAGAGGCAATGGGTGACAGGGAAGGTGGTTCTGGGTGAAGAAGAGAAAGGCACAACCTGTAGAATCTAAAAGGAGGAGAATGGACATTTTTGGGGAAAGTCAACAAGGCAATGTCCACCTCAGGGACATCTTGGCTGGCCAGGTCTCTCTCAGCAGTCACACGAAGGTGGACAACAGTTCCTGATGCCTTTCCAGTTAATGAGCCAGGATGCCATTCGACATTTCAGAAAACATTCTGCTTAGTAAAGAGTTGAGTGTGTAGGGAGGAAAATGGAACCTAAGACTTAGGTGCCTGAGTGGAAAACCTCTTCTTTATAAGGAAGGAGACAAAGAAAGGCTCACTAAAAGCTCATGTCCTATTCCCAGTGATCCACCACTGAATCGTGAAGCTGTGTGAGACTTCCCATGAACCTTGGAGTTGATGTGGAATCTTCTCTGTGTCATATTCAATGTGGGTTCCGAAGCCAATGGAAATCAGTCCTCCTCTGAAATTGTTTCCCCATGAAATGAGCCTGAACTTGCTAGCTCAGAGTTCCTACAAATATTAAAGTACCTTAGTCTGTGTAGATTCACTCTAAGGCAAATTTACTTTTAATAATATCGTACATTTTTAATAGGCATGGTTATTTAATTTTGCTCTCACAAAAGGAGAATCAACCCAAAAAATGGAGTAGGAGAAGCTAGTGGGAGCATCCACTGCTGGAAATGTCAGCCAGCGAGGGAGGAGACTCAAAAAATGAAAAAGACTGATGCACGGTCACGTTACAGTAATTGCTGAAAATATGGTGATGACCTTCAGGCATACAGAAAAGGTTAAATTCTGATAAGCAAATAGGTTTGAATAATAAAAGACAGTTTTTAAAAGAGAGATTAGGTACTTAAATGGTTACAGCTAAAACGCTTACCTGATGGAATACAACTGTACTCTTAAACTTTGTGAGTTTACTTGTTATTAATAGAGTGGGGAGACATGAAGAAATGTCTGCATTCACACAAAAATTATATCTCTAGTTTGAAAAGTTCCTAGCCTCTGAGTTGTAATAGGAAAGTTATTTTCTTTACTTAAGGAATTTCTAATTTAATTAGAGAGGTGTAATATTTATAATTTAATGTTGTATATAATTAGTTTTACACTTTATAGTACAAGTGATACGTGCCATGGGGTATATTGCCAAGTGGTTGATTAAATTAGTTGGATTCGGAAAGTTAAAAGAAATGTATAAAGGAAACTAGGCTTGAGATTGGATCGCTGAAGGGGCCAGGGACGTGGAAAATAGTAACTCATATGTTGGGAAGAACGGGGCTTGGTGACAATGTCATGAAGGCGTCTGAAATTCAGAGAGAATTATTGTTTTGTGATCTTTTAATTATGGACCTTCACTATCCAAGTAAGAAAATTTGATTGAACTCACTAGGCAGGTAGAAAGTCTTTGAGAATGTTTGCTTTAGTAAGTGTTGAGTCATGAACATTTGGATGGATAATGTAAGGACGCCTGAAGAGTCAGTGAATGGATGTTTTGAATGAGTGAATGGATGTTGAAGACATTGAGTAAAAGAACAGATGAAGGAATAGGTTCCTAGGCGAAAACATGATATAAAAAGATCAATGAGAATTCAGCAACAAACATCTAGGATACGTTGGAGAGATTGGGCAATTTGGTCTTAACTCAGCACTATCTCCTAGGGATAGTAGAGCATAATGTCTGTCTGCAAGGGGCTGATGATAAAATATCCTTACAAATCAAATCCAAGTTAATAAGAGTAGCACCAGAGATTTGTATAGTACTCTATATTTTAAAAGCACTCTCATATATGTGCATTAATACAGTTGGTTCTCAATGGAATTTTTCCAATTGTGTCTAAATGAGTACTAGCTAAAATGACTGGGCTCTTGGCCAGGTGTTAGGAAGTATGTTAGTTTTAACACTTTGTGACTTGTGAGACTTTGTGGTCAGGATCTGGAGCTACCTGTTAGGGTATTGGTCATCAATATTAAATAATAAGTAAACATTGATCCTTACAACCGTTTTCGCCCCCATTTCCAGGGAAATCCTTTTCTGGAACACAGAATTTTCACTTGGAGGTCGGCCTCATCATTCTGTCCGTAGTGTTCGCAGTATGCCTTCTAGCTTGCCTACTGGGAGTCGCTCTCCGAAAATTTAAAAGGCGCAACCAAGAACGCCTCAATCCCAGAGATGTGGAGTACGGCACCATCGAAGGGCTCATCACCACCAATGTTGGAGACAGCACTTTAGCAGTGAGTTGTCACCCTAGCATCCCAAGCATAAGGAAGATGGCTGAGGGTGCCTTCTTGTTTTGAGCATGAAAGCTAACAGTAACTGGTGACTGGACAGTGTGCACACATAGCACTGGCCATACACATCCTAAGCTAGCATGTGCTGGCACCTGTCTGGTCTCCCCTATTGGAGAACATTCATTTCAGACAGTGTTTATATTAAATGAGAGATGGGATTTACTTTAGCAGATTTTGGGGGAGTAAGGGGAAAGTGCCCTGCTGGCGGTGGGGGCGAGAGGAGAGCCTTGGAATTTATGGTACTCAGTTACTTTTTTCTTTTAGCAATAAAAGTGCTTTTATAACAAGCACCTTTTGCTTAGTATTAAAAATCACTCTTCCTTCTAGATTATTTTAACACCCTGTAATTTAAGACTTTAAAATTTGACATTCAAAAAAGAAGCTATTAAATTTTTCACGCTCCTGTGCTGCCCCCTTGTGGAGTGCAGTCATGTGGCTAAACCCAGTGATGTCCAGGAGAGAGATGTGCATCATGTATGTAATTTTAAATTTTCTAGTAGCTACCTTAAAAAAAGTAAAAACAAAACAAAACCCCAGATGATATTAATTTCAACAATATATTTAACCTAATATATATAGTTATAATTTCAACATATAATCATAAAGAATTACTAATAAGACATTTTACTCCTTTTTTAAACTAAGATTTCAAAATATGGTATGTATTTTACACATACAGCCTACAATAGTTCAGACTAGCACAGTTCACTTGCTCAGTGTCAGCATGTGGCTAGCAGCTACCCTAATGAACAGCACAAGGTTGAAACTATTGTATTTATATGCATTAAAAGTACTCTTGTGTATTTCTAAATGAGGAAATCACAGTAAAAAGTGACTGTCTTCCTTTTTTTTTACAATTTAAATTTGTTTTTCAAGTGTTATTGTTTTTAAAAATATATTTTTGTATTGATTTCAGAGAGGAAGGGAGAGGGAAAGAGAGATAGAAACATCAATGATGAGAGAGAATTATTGACCCACACCTCCCACTGTGGATCGAGCCCGCAACCTGGGCATATTCCCCTAACGGGGAATCGACCTCCTATGGGTCGATGCTCAACCACTGAGCCATGCCAGCTGGGCTCAAGTGTTAATTTTAAAGAGACTTTAAAAAGTGGAAAAGGGAATTATTTGCTATGAAAGGGTTATCGTAAAGTGCAAAAGAAAAAAGCATAAATGTTCTAAAAGGATACTATGCTGAGTGAGTCTGGTGCCTACTCTGAAAAAGGCATCACACCAGTGAGTGTTAGAGAGGTGTTAAAAACATACTCATACCAAATCAAGATTCCTTTTCATAATCTGATGAATTGAAAGACAAGGTAATCATTTTGTAATGGGAGTCAATGTTATTTAATGCCATGATCATGTGTCACTTAAGATCCTCTTGTGTTAAATCTTCTAGACAATATGCTTAAAAGTGTCTGACATTTCTGTAGTTAAGCCTGACCTGCAACTTCCTTTTTACTGGAGAAGACGTGCCCTTGACAATCTTTGCAGCTCAGGTCCTGCACCTGGACCATTTTTGGTGAGCTGTTCAAACATTGGGTAAGAGCAGATCCAGGCTGGAAAATATCCCATCCTGCTGCCTTCCCCAGTACTGGGCCACCCGTCAGATGTACTTTTTGGTATGAAAAAGGGGGAAGACCCTTGTTGGGCTTCCTGTTACCTACCTATTTAAATTGTAGTATAGCAAAACTGGGGAAAAAGAGAGGACATGTTATTCCAAAAAGTAGAGGATTACAGTTTTTTGTTAGAAAAGTACTTAGAGGTTAATTTCACATTTTGAGGAAAATTAAATAAGTTTATTGAATTAGCAGCAAGAACATACAAGGCTGCCCAGGCTGGTGTGGCTTGGTTGATTGGGCATTGTCCCGTGTACCAAAAGGTTGCTGGTTCGATTCCCAGTCAGGGCACATGCCCGGGTTTCTGGCTTCATCTCTAGTAGGGAGTGTGTGGAAACTGATCCATGTTATGCTCTCACATTGATGTTTCTCTCTCCCTCTCCTTCTCTTCCCCCTCTCTCTTAAAATCAATAAAACATCTTTTTAAAAAAAGAAGATAGAAGGATAAATCCTGACAAAGATTTAACAAAGCAAGATTCAGAAATAGACTTGTCAGAACTTCATTCCTCAGAACAGCTAACATAACTAATCACCATGGACAATAATAGGAATATCTTGTGCAAATTACTGTTTAAATAGTTTTTATAATTTTGAAAGAGGGATGGGAGTATATGCTAAAATGGCCTTCTCAACTCAACCATGTTAGATGACAGTATAGTGCGATATAACAACACAGTAAACAACACTATTTAAAACAAGTTGTCCCTATTGGTCTTCATACTTGCTCATTTAAGCAATATGCTCATGTATGATTCAACAAAGCACATCTTACTAAACAGCTCCCTCACGTTGAAAAGCAGCCTTGGGATCTCAGAGTTGAAGTAGATGTTTGGATATCTTTTGTTGATTTCCTCCCCATCCCCATCCTGGGGACCAGGGTTATATATTATGGCAAAAATAACGTATTAGTTTAATTTTCTGGATTATTCTCTCAAAATGTTGAGTAAATAAAGAGAAAAAAAGAACATCAAATAGATGGTTAGGGGAATGTGGAAGTCTCCTTCATCTTACTCAATTCCTGTTGATTATCCATTTTGTGGTTTTAAGGATTCTAAATTTTTTTCTTTTGGATATTCAGCTTTTGGTAATTTTGCTGATCAACAGTACTTCACAGTGGTACTCAGAATAAAAAAAAAAGATGAAATTCAAACAAATCAGTGTATCGTATTAACAGGCCAGCTAAAACGTTTGGGAAAGGATGAGGAATGTCAGCTCACTGTGACTGCAACCTTAACCACCATCACACGGGGGCACAATAATGTATATTGCAGACAATCCATTTCTGATACAGAAAGACCTCTGCTTTCTTCTTTTCCTAAGAAGGAAAAGTTTATGAGTGAACTCATGGGGACTCTTTTTCATAATATGTTATTTGTTAGAAGTAGATTTGGGGCATGGTTTTATGTTTCCAATGAAAGCTTTAGCTTTTCTGAGTCGTGGCTAACTCCCATCAAGAGATGACACGTAGGTGTTAATTTTTTGACCCCTTTGCTCCTCACTCACTTAAAAGGGTAACACCTCCATCCAGGTAGCCCCTCTGTGCTGGAGTGTGCCAGTTGGATGAACCATGTGGCCACTGGTGTGTCTTTCTACTACATGAGTGCCATCTGTTCCTTATTCCTAATTCGTATGTTTCTAATGAGAGCCCCTTAGTTGGCATGTCAGCTAGAGGGGATCCTCTGCTAGATAATGAATGACAAGCAGAGTAGAATATGGTCAGTTGGGCCCAGCCTGGGACTTGAAGCTCTTTTCTCTTCTTTTTGCTCTACTTGGTCTTTGTTCTGCTACTTTCCCTGTGCTCAGCCTGGGCTTTCTGATTCCCGTCTTCGACTTTGTCCACTCAACTTCTTTATATATTTAATTCTAAAACTGTTAGTGCATGAAAGGACCACGCAACCCCCAGGAAAACCTATCCTGTATTAGGGAAAGGATAGGCTTCTGGTTTTTCTAATAAAACCAGTGCTTCTAATAAAACCAGTGATAGCGGCTGTTCACGCACACTAATGGCAGCCAGGGTGCTGCGCTGTGTGAGTGATAACGCGATGCATGCTCATGCTCAATTCGAGGGCTCTTTCTCATCAGTGTCTTTTCTCCTTGTCTCGAACCACAGGATTTACTGGATCACTCGTGTACGTCGGGAAGCGGCTCTGGCCTTCCTTTTCTGGTGCAGAGAACAGTGGCTCGTCAGATCACACTGTTGGAGTGTGTCGGTAAGGCATTTTCTCTTCCTTTGCGGGTTATGTGCGGTGTTAGTTGTGGTTCTGGAAGGAGGATGGCACTTGGGAAAATCTGTTTCTTGTTTCCTAACATCGGGAGGTGGGGGGTAGCCATGTGGTGTGGCTTTGTCTCTGTTCTCTGTGTGACTTGTGTTGGAGCACCTGAACGTGCACAAGTCCTTGTCCAAGGAGTCCGTCACTAGTTAGTAGAGACCATGCTTAGTCAGAAGCTTTCAGTTGCAAGTCCACCCTTTGGGATGACGGAAATGCTTGAAACATGAATGAATAGGGCTGCTCCTCATTGTAGGTATTGGATGATCCGAGGTAAGTAGGCTTTAGGACCATAAACTTGCTTATTACAAGTTTCTAATCCCTCTCACTCTTCCCCTGCCTTTTAAAATAATGAAATAATCTGTTTAAACAAGATATATATATATTTCTCTATGGCCATTCACAGTTTTTCCATATAGGAACATATTTACGCATAGATGTAATCATAGTGTGTGTACAATTTGTGTCCCTTTTTTTAGTTTTAAGCTCACATTTCCCCTTTTTGTACACATCGTAAATATATTTAAAGACTGTGTAATAATCATCTATTGAATATTCATTTTTCTGTAACAGTACTACTTGAGAAAGATTTTGCACCCATTGCTTCACTCTTTTGAGTCCTCAGAATAAATTCCTAGGAATTAGGATTCTGGGTCAAAATTTATGACTTTTTTATTGCTTGTTTTATATATTACTGGATTTTCCCCTACAAAGATGGTACCAAATGCTTTTATTTATTTTTTAAAAAATTTAAAAGATTTTTAAGTTGATTTTTAGAGAGAGAGGAAGGGAGAGGGAGAGAGAGAGAGAGAAACATCGATATGAGAGCAGAACATCGATCAGCTGCCTTTGCACACACCTCCCCCCTGCCCCTGACTGGGGATTGAGCATGTGCCCTGACCGGGAATCGAACTGGCAACCTTTCAGTGCAGGGATGATGCCCAACAAACTGAGCCACATTGGTCAGGGCCCTAATGTTTTTATTTCAAAGTTTCATTTTTTATTAGTTGTGGTGGATAGTTGCCAGCCACATGATAGTTTTCATTAATTTCTCCTTTAGACGCCATGCAGGGATGACCACAGTAGTGCTAGTGGGTTGGCAATATCTCTGTCCTCTCCTCCTGATTCTCCTGGTTCCTCTGGGCTGGACTCGGCAGCTTTGGGGGAGGTGGCTCCCTCCACCACTTGGCTGCTGTGCTCTGGCTTTTCTCACTGTTTTCCGGGAAACCAGGACACCCCTAAACCCAGTAGTAGAAAGGGGGACGGACAGGGATAGTAAGAGCAGCAAGTCCCAACTCAGGCACACAGGCGGTCAGCTGGAGCCTGTTGCCTCTTCTCTAAGTCTGCAGCTCCTCGACTGTTTCCGAACACCACTTCACACTGCTTCTCCGCAGTGGAGAAAATAAAAAGGTCCCAAGTGTGCTCATTGCATCCAGCCAGCATTGTCCTTTTGGACCAGTTAACATCTTATTGGATTATGAACCAGGGATTCTGGCTACTGGTGAGAAGGCAGTGAAGGGAGACACGTGCCCCTTTCACCCCCATCCTCACCATTCACAGGGCAGCAGGTCTCAAGGACGGTCCTCAGAGATTGACTCCAGAGTTCAAAGGGCAAAATAATGTTGCACCTTTAAACATATATACTGTTTCTGGTTATAGAGATATTCTTCAGTCATTTTTGAAATAATGTAATTTCAAATATAGCATTTTGTTGGTTTAGTGCTGAAGACTTGAGTAAAAGCAATGCCTTTTTTAGTAGCTTATCGTGTTCATGTGCTATAGTTTAAATAAAAATGTATGTGATGAATTGCTTGGATAGTATGTTATCATTATTGGTTCAAAAGCAAAGAAGCTGGACTAGATCAGTTCTTTTCCAGGCGATGACCAGTGAACCCCTAAATTTCAGAGGCCTTATGGATCCCCTTTGCAGGCAGCTCTGCTTCTGTTTTCAGGGATATATTCATAAGGATGCATTTGTAAGAAGCATTTGACAACATAAAAGAGTTTGAGAACCATTGAAGTAGGTTTCTATTTTAATTCTCTCTACTTATCCTGACATTCATTTCTGTTTTCTTTAAAAAAAAAAAAAAAAAAAGACTTGAAGGGAACTTTTTAGTAATGGCCCCAATTCTCTGGGAAAATTTTCTCTCCTTCCTGATGAGACTCTGAGGACAAAGGGCAACTAAAGATAAGGAAGGGAACTAAGGCAGGAAAAGATTAGCCTATCATTTCCTAGCAGCTGATTTTGTAATATCTTGCCCCCAGCCTTCATCTTGAGCTACAAATTCTGGGCAGTTGACTTTATTAACTGATTTTATTAAAATTAATCTTGTGCTATTTTGTGTGACCTGACAAGGGCTCCCAGTGACCACTTACTGACCACATTTAACATCCTTTTGGATTAGTAATTGCTATTTAGTAGGAACATTGTTTGTTCTAAGGAAATCTAAATTGAGTGGTTTTGATCATGTTTCAGGTGAGTCACCCGGACAGACATGCTTTCTCTCTCCTTGTTTGGGTTTTTGGCGGCTTAGTTGTTCAGCAAAGAGCTGTCTTCCTGTCTGTGCAGGTGGTGCCACAGCTGCTTATTACCAGCCGCGATTCCCAGCAGCACTTGCCTGGGTAGAAAGCCCCACTGCGCTGCAAGTTGTATCTCCTGCTGCATGATTATCTAGGTGCCGCACACGTACCCCTTGATTATACCCCGTGTTGATCCCCAGAGTCTTGTGGTAATTACCTCCTCCTCCCAACCTCCCTGCTCACCCCTTTCTATAATTAAGGAGAAGGGTGGCAGAGGGCGCATGGAGTTGACAAGCCGATAGTTGTGTTGCTGCTGCCGGAGAGGGAAGGCACCCAGCAGAATCATCACAGCTAGTCACCACATTCTGCAAAATGTCTTCTCCATTTGGTCTTTTCCGTGTGGCCCAGGGTGGCATTGCAGGGGCTGTCTCACAAGCAAATACCCATGACCAATGTCAGAAATCAGGACTGTTCTGGGATTACGTGTTTAAGACTTTGCAAATCCTCTTTTGAACTGTATCCTCCGCCAAGAAATCCTTTAGGGATGGCAGTGGCTGCTTGTCGATCCCCTTCTCAGCATTGTTTTTTGTCTGTTTGTGTGTGATTGCCTTTTTAACCCTTCAGAACAACACATCTCAAACTCAACGGTCTCCTTTTTGAAACATATAAATGTCTATGTAAAGCCGTATACATGTTTTTGTCCTTCCACACCACACTGAAATCTAATGATCGGTACCATTTTCTAAGTTTTGCTAACTTTCATGTGCTTTTAAAAACTCTGTGTTTCAGACTCTTTAGTAGAGGAATTCAAATGTAAAACTTTATCGTGTGCAGCTAATTGTACCGTGCAGATACTGAGGGTGTTTAACTTGTGATCACAGTGGAGTGGCTGGGAGGGGCAGGTTCTACCTTTACAGGTAAAAGGTCCTGGTATTTATGTCCCCAAATTGAGTTTTCCCAGTAAACAGTGGGCATGGTTAAGAGTTGCAGGTATGCACTTTATTGGCAACCTCTTCTGTCCTGTCTAATGTCACCTCTGTGCTGCTTTCCACAGGGAAAGGCAGGTATGGTGAGGTGTGGAGGGGCAGCTGGCAAGGGGAGAATGTTGCTGTGAAGATCTTCTCCTCCCGGGATGAGAAGTCGTGGTTCAGGGAAACAGAATTGTACAACACTGTGATGCTGAGGCATGAAAATATTTTAGGTGAGTACCAGGGTGATTCCCCTCATGATTTTTATCTAGAAAGAAATCATTTGCTTGCCTTTGCCCTCTCTGATGGGGTGCCTGTGAATTTTCCAGTCTCTCCTGAAAAGCGATATAGGGATCTTGCGCATGTATATACTGTTTAATTTTTTAAAACTAATTTCTTGTTTATATCTGCAGAGAAGTGAAATTGGAAGGTTCTCTCAATGATGAAAAGGAAATTGTTATTGTTCCCTCTCATTCTGCAGGTTGTCATTTAAACAACAGAAATTTGCCCCATATTGTTCACTTCAAGGCTTCCTCGGTGGTTCTACTTATCCCACACCCTTGTTGAATATTTATTACTTGAATCAAACTAAGAAAGCTCTTTGGATGATTTCCTAGAGATTCACAGCTCCCAGGGACATCGTAATTAAATGCACATTCCCTCAAACTAGGCATCGTTTTTTAAAGCCCAGATTTACAGAGGGATTTAGCATACATTTTAATTTGGAAACTAAAGCTTAAAAACATTTGTGAAATATGTGGAGAGCTCATTGAAAATACTGCTATGGAATTATAAAGGGTGAGAATATTCCTTGCGTCCATTGGCGTATATGTTTTTTGAAAAGTTTCTGTAAATGTGTTTATACTAATACATCCTTGACGAATGCTGCATGGTGTGCTTTTTAATTGATGGATATAAAGTTCATATAGAATTTGACCTGTAGAAGATAGTGTTGGACACGTTGTGACTATTGGATTAGGTTCGGCATACACAAAGCTATTTGCAGAATTTATTTCTATTCCGGTACAGTCATTCGCAGTATAAATTTCAGTCAGTGACGAACAACCTATACAACAGTGGTCCCATAAGATGATAATGGCTGGAAAATTCCTGTCGCCCAGGACATTGTAGCTATGGAAATGTTGTAGCACAACACATTACTCACATTTTTGTGGTGATGCTGGTGTAATCAAATCTGTGCTGCCAGTCGTATAAAAGTATAGCACAAACGGTAATGCACAGTACATAATACTTGATAATGAATGGCTATGTTACTGGCTTATGTGTTTACTATGCTATACTTTGTCATTATTTTAGAGTATACTCTTTCTACTTATAAAAAGAAAGTTTACTGTAAAACAGTATGCCGTGTTATGCAAGCAACAGCCTCATAGTTTCCGTGTTTACCATGTCTCTTGATTGCATCATTTTTTTCTTGTGCTTGATTTAATCTCATTTTATAAATTTAGTGTCGCTTAAGTGTATAGTGTTTATAAAGTCTACAGTAGTGTGCAGTCATGCCCTAGGCCTTCACATTCACTCATCATTTACTTACTCACTGACTCACCCAGAGCAACTTCCTCTCCTGCAAACTACATTCATGGTAAGTACTCTATACAGGTGGACCATATTTTATCTTTGACAACACATTTTTTACTGTACCTGTTCTATGTTTAGACACACAAATACTATTGTGTTATAATTGCCGACAGTATTCAATACAGTAGCATGCTGTACAGGTTTATAGCCTAGGAGCAAGAGGCTGACTATATAGCCTCGGTGTGTGGTAGTCTATACCATCTAAGTACACTGTATGATGTTCTCACAGTGACAGAATTGCCTACCAACACATTTATCAGAATGTATCCCCATCGTTACACAGTGTTTGACTGTAGTGCCAATTTAGTATTAAACCTGAGCCAGGTTGTCTGCAAATAATGGTTTGACAGTTGTCCAAAGCTTTGCTTCATCAGTATGGTGGTATGTTCCATCTCAGAATTATCTCAGTTTCTGCTGTTGACTTTTGCCCTTCCCTTTCCCCTGGGGCCCTAGTCATCACCTAATCCTCCTCCCTTATATTGTGGTTCTTGGTCTTCCCTTTCCAATCCTTCTCTCTATAATGAGATATCTTCCCCTGGGGAGCTGAGATACTTCTGCTCTATGTGTCTGCTGACTCCCACATTGCTTGCAGCAATCGTGACTTCTGGGCCTGACATGACAGACTCCCTATTTTGGGCTCCAAGGATTCTCTGAAGCATCCTGTACAAATATACCCACATGCAGCCACTTCTGATGTTTGCCCTTCCTTGGGATTGCCATGGACAGTCAAGTCTCTGTGCCTTTGTTCACATTGTTTTTGATCACCCACTCTTCCTGTCCCACCCTCCAACCACGCCTTCCTCCATCAGAACCTCTGAGTGCCCTTCCAGTATCTCCCAGTAGATTTAATTGTGCTTTTCTGCACTCCTCACATTGAACCTCTGCTATAAGTCTTATCACACATTGTCTTGTGTTGTGGATGGATGCATGTGTGTAACAACAGTAATGATGACAAGAGCAATAGTGATGACTAGTTACTAGCAGTTATGTGTGATTTCTCATTTAAGCTTCATCACAACCATAAGAGGCAAGGTACTCTTGTTTCTCACTTTTAACTGATGAGATGACTGAGGTACACGGAGATTAACATCACCCAGCAGATGACGAAATAGTAGAACTGAAAATCACACTGGGCACTCTAACACTTAACCACAGTTGTGTACTCTATACTGTAGTTGGCTAGATGGTCATAGACTAATAGAGTTGTTTCTTGCAGTGGTTCTCAACCTGTGGGTCGCGACCCCTGAAAATGCATCCTGCAAATCAGATATTTACATTACAATTCATAACAGTAGCAAAATTACAGTTATGAAGTAGCAGCGAAAATAGTTTTATGGTTGGGGGTCACCACAACATGAGGAACTGTATTAATTAAAGGGTCGTGGCATTAGGAAGGCTGAGAACCACTGGCTCAGGGTATGAAGTGAAAATTCATCAACCGTCAAAATTACCCTCTAGTGTACCAATTTTTCCTCTGAAACTGAAACAGTTTGAAGTTGTGCAACAGATAAAGCATTGGTTGTGTTAGAAGCTGTGAGGTACAAGAAGTGCTTAGCTTTAAACACTAGCATTACTCTTACTGGGCAGATGCACATTGCTAAGAAGCATGCGGGTCTGAGACTTATTGAAGGAAGGACATATTTGGGCATCCCCTCTCATTCTCTGGGGCCCGCAGCCTCACTGAGCAAAATGCTCTGGATATCACTGTGCTATGCAAATAGTCACTTTATCCATGCACTTAAGTTAAATGACCTATGATACCACTCCATTACAATGAGGACAAGAATTATTTCCATTGTTTTTGCTTTCACATTCAACACTGAGGACAGTACACTACCCATGGAAGGTGCTCAGTAAATATTTATTAGGTTGGGTTTAATCACAAGGGAAATTTGAAGGTCACATTTGCAATATGATTTCCTGTGAGAGAACTTAAGTTTCCTTAGTGTGATCACAGAGGGAAAAACATTGTCCATTTATTATTACCAACGATTCACGGAAATTCTGAATTCATGAGCTCTTGCCACCCTCATCATAATTACAGCCAATGGATTGATCTTACTGTGTAGCCTTTTCATTGAGAAAGCTTGTAGAAATGCATAAACTTTTTTGTTAAACTTCTTTCCCTGCTTTACAAGTTTTCTGGATATAGAGATTTAAGGCTTTTTGTGATCATTTTCTCTTCCATTAAAAGAGCATATTGTGTTTTGAATATCAGACCATGATTTCCCCCCATCCTTGAGTATTACTAACTCTAGCTCCCCAAATACATAGTTAAATTACACACACAAATACATACATATATACAGTATACACATGCATACATGTAAAACTCTGGGCCCTCATTGTTTATCCTCCCAATTAAACTTGTAAAACAGTATCTTTCAAATGGACTAGTTTGGACTTCAACTCTTCCTTTTGCTGTGACTGGTGTAGAAGTCAACAGCTAAATGAGTAATGGGAAGCCCTGTTGTGTAGTGGAAATTTGGAAAACCGGTTTCTACTCTCAGCACCATTGGAGGCCCACTTTGTGAGTTGGGGCCAAAGTTCTATATTTCTGCACATTCTTTTCTTCACTGCTAAAACCAAAGAGGTTGAGAATTACCTTACACTGTTTTAAAAAAAATTGTTTTAAATATACATAACACGATATTTACCATGGTTACCATACTAAGTGAAGTGTACAGCTCAGTGTAACAGAGCACGTGCACGTCATGTGACAGTCACCACCCTCCATCTCCAGAACCTTCTCATACTCTTAAAAGGTACTGCCTAACATTTTCATCAGTCATCATTTCTGGAGATCAATGGGAAGTAAAGGAAACTGTCCACAAAAGATACTACATTACAAAATCATTGTGGTTGTCATTGAATCCTGGGCTATTTTAACGTATAATAATAACCAACTGTTCTTGAACACTTACTATGTGTTAGGCATCACCTGAAGTATTTTGTTTCTAATAACTCTTATTCTCACAGTAGCCCTTTAAGGTAGATGATGATGTTACCCATGTCTTAGAAGGAAGAGATTTTATGTGAGCTGTGCTAGATGATGCAGCTTGGGAATGATGAACCAGTGTGGGAACCCAGGAGTTCATTTCTGGGGCCCAGCACGCAGCACCTCGCTCTACTGTGTGGTGGTCTCCCTCCCCAGCCGTCAGAGCCACCCATGCCTGGTTCCTGGGAGATCACCAGGGAGAGGCTCCCAAGGAGCACTGATTACTTCCCTCAAGATTTGGGCTTTTATTTTAGCTCTCAAGGAGCCTGGAGGATGCCTTTCGCTGTTTAAGAGGCTTTTGCCCTGGTCACCTTCTGTCCCTATTATGAACACATCCAGGGCTGTGCCAGAGTTCCAACCTACAGGCACCTGTTCAATCTCCACAAACAGAAGAACTTTGACTCAAAATGCAATCCTATATAATAAAAGGGTAATATGCAAATGGACTGAACTGCGGAACCACCTGAATGCCCTCGGCCACTCGCCCCGGCCAGCCCCACCCCTGAGCAGGTACCTGGACCCCGAGTGGCGGTGGGGCCAGCTGGCAAACCGCCTGTGGCCCCTAGCCCCTACCAGCCCGCCCCTGATGGCCCCCATTGGGGTGGGCCGGCTGGACCCCACCAGTGCAAGCATTCGTGCACCGGGCCTCTAGTTATCTTATAAAAATGCTCTAGCCTTTTGAAGAAAGTGGAGTAATATAATTCACACCTGAAATACAGCTTTTTAAAATCTTGCTTATTTAAAAGTTTTTTTTCCTGAAGGTCTAGAGCAGCGATTTTCAACCTTTTTCATCTCATGGCACACATAAATTAATTACTAAAATTCTGTGGCATACCAAAAAATGTATTTTTTGCCAATCTGACAAAAAAATAGGTATGATTTTTATTGATTTACAAAATAATAACAACAATAATAGTAATTACTTACCCTTTTTGCTCCAAAATAACTAAAAAAAAAAAAAAATCAGGTTCCTATACTTGTATATAAGGATTTTTGGTACCAGGAATTAACCAATCAAACACAACCTTATTATGCATTGTGACCAATAAGATGTAACACTATTATATGGCCTATGTATTTATGGTTCAAGACAGGGTATTCACAGCATACTGTTGGCTGTTGTCACTTTTTTTTTAAATGTGACAATTTAAGGGGAAAGAGGTCAGTGCCTCTGACTCAATAGTCAGGAATTGAATGTTTTAAAAGTTTTTGCAGCACACTGAATGTCAGGGATGTAATCTGCCTACTTCATGCGGTTTTTGGAGGACTGTGTGTCAAGTGCTTGGTGCGTTGGTAGCACTCAATAATTAATAGCTGCTTCTATTGTTGCTGATGCTGATCAAATAGAAGACCTTTCTTTGTTCCCAGAGCTTCCTATTCGAGGTAGGGTGTACCAGGGCAGCCAGCTCCAAACCTGGGGTTGGCTGCAATTTAATAGCTTTGTGATTCTTGGCATCTCCCAGCAGCAACTTCATTATTTCTAAAATGAGTATAATGATATATATCTATCTCACTGTTCTATTGGGGAAAATCCCATGAAAAAAATATATGTGAAAGTGAGTAAATTTTACACAATGTACTTACTATGTGATGGTAAGGCGTTTTATGCAATTTCTCTTACTTTATACTTTTGCAAGATGTTTAATTCTTCCTCAAGTCATATCTGTCTTTAAAAAAAATTTTATCTTCTACTTATATGTCCCAAACTTTACTATCCATAAAGTTCATATATATGATATATATAACATATATTCTAATAAATACATCTCTCTATATAAAAGCCTAAGCAACCATTACGATGGGATGATGGATGATCAGCCGGTAGCTATAACACACACTGACCACCAGGGGGCAGACAATCAATGCAGTAGCTGCCCCCTGGTGGTCAGTATGCTCCCACAGCCAACCTCCTGTGGCCAGCCAACCTCCCATGGTCCCTCCCCTTGGCCGGCCGGCCCCGATCCACCTGATTGCTGACCAGGCTGAGGGACCACACCCATGCACGAATTCATGCACTGGACCTCTAGTATGTTATAAAATATATTATAATACACAGGGCAGGGCAAAAGTAGGCTTACAGTTGTGAGTACGAGAAACAATGTATTCTTGTATTATTATTATTATTAATTATTGTAGTTTTTGCACATGAGCAACTGTAAATCAACCCTGTATATTATAGTATACAGATATGTAATGTACATTATATGTTACATATAAATATATATTAAAAGCCCAGAAATGCTTTTCTAGGATTCTTCTTTATATAACATATAGAATATTATTATACTAGTGGCCCAGTGCACGGATTCATGCACATTAAAAGGAAGTTAATTAGAAGAAATATTTTAATATTGCTATTCGCCCTTCTCTATAATAGAAGTGTCAGAGATGAAAGAAAATTAGTAAAATGTATATGAAAATAATATATAAATTGATTAATAAATAACAACATGATATAACAAAGGCATGATATAAAAATAAAAACATGATATAAAAACAAATGATATAAAAACAACATTGATAAAAACAATGACTGATAAATGGATTAAACTTATTCTAATATCTCCCTGTATACCACATTAAGAGTAAAAACACTTTCAAAGTGCTGGACTATTTTCCCTTGTGATGAAATATTTACAACTTTAACGTTAATGTCACATGCTCGTCAAACTCGAGAGATAGCAACGTATAACTGACCATGTCTGAAAACGGGTTCAGGTAGGAATATTCCTACTCTGTCTAGACTTTGTCCTTGGGATTGATTAATAGTCATCACAAATGCTGGCATCACGTGAAACTGTCTTCAAATTAATTTAAATGGGAGGCCAGTGTCAGACGGGGACAAATATCACGCATGAGCGAGTCAACATTTATTTTTAAATTGCCAGTGCGTCATATGTACCGGTCGGTTGGACGGACAAACGGTCGGTCATTTAGCCTTTTATATGTATAGATGGCCTGATGCGTGGATTCGTGCACACGCATGCGATTGGTGTCAGTGAGAGCTTTAAATGTATCGTGCATGCGCGAGTCAACATTTATTTTTAAATTGCCAGTGCATGTCATGTGTACCGGCTGGTCAGTTGGTAGGACAGACGGACGGTCGGTCACTTAACAGTTTATATATATAGATAATATAATATATAGAGAAAAGCAATGCTAGAAAAGCACTTCTTTAGCAAAATAACAAGCATACATATCATAATTTATTCCATAGGTTAGGAAGTGCCTCAGACTTCTATAGTTCCTTCATTATGCCCAAAAAGTCCCCACAGAATATCTAGAAAAACTTCTTCCTACCTCTTTATCTACATCTGTCAGTATTTCATTTCTCTTCAAGACCAGTGGTTACTTTGATGGAAGCCTATTGGAACATCTGGTCTGAATTATTAAGATTCCCTACTCCGGACTCCTGGTGCCCTTTGGAGATAATATTATAATACTTTTCACATTATGTTGTAATTTTTTCCTTTTCATATCTGTCTTCTTTTGTAGCTAACAAACATTATCATCTGGGTTTTCCTGTGTGACTGACAGAGAGCATCATTTGCTTGTTATATTTCATTGGCTCCTTTTTTTATTTGATGAATCTGTCAGTCATTTAACATAAACTGATCCTTTTATTTTATAACTGAGCAGAGAGACTCCAAAGAGCCTAAATGAGTTGTCAATATTACACAGCAAATCACAGGCAGAGTCAGGACTAGAACACAGATGTCTAGGTTCCAGTTTTCTGTTCTTTTTGGGTAGTTGATGAATAATCTGTGCTTGGAATATCAGTGTGATAAAGAGTTTGGCACTGTTATTATGGGTAAGCACAAAAAATATTTCTATTTAAATGTTAATGCCGTGTAAAATATTTTTAAAGGGTTATTTTACCATAGAAATTAATATGAAATTTTTCTATTCATTGACAGTACCCTTTAAGCAATCAGTACTATGAGGTTTCTTTGTTGATGCTTCTGTAAACCTTCTTTCATGGTAGTTGGTTAGATTAATTATAGTTTGTTACAGATGATGTCTACTGCATGGGTCACTGTTTCCGGATACTAAAAATTACAGTGTGGAATTCTCACATGTCTGTTAATTTTGTTCTTGCTCGCTCCAGGTTTCATTGCTTCAGACATGACATCAAGACACTCCAGTACCCAGCTGTGGTTGATCACACATTACCATGAAATGGGATCATTGTATGACTATCTCCAGCTTACTACTCTGGATACGGTTAGCTGCCTGCGAATAGTGCTGTCCATTGCTAGTGGTCTCGCACATTTGCACATAGAGATATTTGGGACCCAAGGGAAACCAGCCATTGCTCATCGAGATTTGAAAAGCAAAAACATCCTGGTGAAGAAGAATGGACAGTGTTGCATAGCAGATTTGGGTAAATTTTTAGAAATATTTTTAAATTACTTTTTTTACTTTTTGTTGTGAAAAGTTTCAAGCATGCAGACAAATTGAAGATAGTAAACAACTGTATCACAACCACTAGATTCTCCCATTAATATTTTACTATTCTGAAGCTTTATCACATATCTGTCTGTCCCCTATTCGTCAATCCTTCTTAATCGTTGACACATTTCAATGTAAATTGCAGACAAAAGAGCTCTTCTGTCCAAAGACACCAGTGTATCACTCACTAGAGTTCATTATTTATTTTCTTTATAGGTAAAATTTAAATTTCATGGGAAATACACAAATCTTAAGTATACAATCCCAGGGTTTTGACACATGTTGTAAAACCCAAATCCCTATTGAGAGACAGACTTTCCCATTATTCCAGACCATCACTTCATGCTTGTTCAGTCAGTCCCTGCCCAGCCCACCCTCAGAGGCCACCATACTGTTGCATTCTGATTTCACAGCTCTTTACACAAAGTAGGTACACATACATAGCATATGAAGTGAGTTTGTCTTAAAAATTGTTTCTAAAGTTGTTTTTCTATAACCACAGCAAAATTATCAAGCAAGCAAGAGGGAAGAAAATCCCTGAACCAATTTGCCATTTTCTCTGCTAGGATGGGGACGGGTTGAAACTTCGCCAGCAGCTCTCTCTGAGAGAGGACGTGAGCTGATGGACACGGTTGTCTTCTTCCTTTCAGGCCTGGCAGTCATGCATTCCCAGAGCACCAATCAGCTGGACGTGGGGAACAACCCACGCGTAGGCACCAAGCGCTACATGGCCCCTGAAGTCCTGGATGAAACCATCCAGGTGGACTGCTTTGATTCTTACAAGAGAGTCGATATTTGGGCTTTTGGACTTGTCTTGTGGGAAGTGGCCAGGCGGATGGTGAGCAATGGTAGGTATCTGATCTAATGTAATGTTGTCCACTTTCAAGCCCTGTTGATTCTGCTGCCCTTAAAAGGGCAAAAGGGATATTTAAGTCCACATGGTTCCTTGTCATGCGGCTGGCATTTATATGTAACTGGTAGGTGGCACGCAATGGCATTGTATTTTAACTGCATTGTATTTTAAAGAGGAAATCATGGCTTTCTGGAAGAGACTAGTCATTCCTTGTTTTTTTCTTTTGATTGGTCCCTTCCTTCCTTCCTTCCTTCCTTCCTTCCTCCCTCCCTCCCTCCCTCCCTCCCTCCCTCCCTCCCTTCCTTTCTTCCTTCTTCCTATTCTGCCTTTCTTTCCACTTTCCCTTCTTCTTTGCTCTCCTCACAAGTGAAGTTTAATGTGAGGAGAATGCACAAGTAAATCTAAGGGTAAATGAATTCTGCTATTTTAGGTATTTTTACTTAAGTTTAGATTATTGAGAAAAGGCTCAGGTGATGCATTTGGAATTCACTCCTTTGTAAGAAGCAGGCTGTATAAGTGAAGCTCATCTTCAGGAAGCCCTGAGTAGGTGGTTATGCTGGTACTCTTGTAAGTTAAGTTTTATGAAATGGTGTCGCCTTGGCAGTTAGGGAAGCATATGCCAATCACTTTTACCTGCGTCCCCTACAATAAACTCTTACTCTTGTCTTTCATGTATCCAGATCAACCAAAAATATAGTGTTGAACTTAACTTCAACTACATTATATTCTGAAAGCCCTAAGTATACTCTTTCAAATTGCACATGCCCCATCTACCCACAAAGTGGTTATTATAGCAGAATCTTTTATGTCGACTAAATCAACCGCTTCACAACTTGAAATACCTTCACAACTGGAAATCTTATTTCACTGAGGAATTGTTCCAGGAAAACAGAAGAGAGTGCCATGTATTTAGATTAATATTCCTTTACAAAAGATACTTCACCCTCCTGTGACCTCTTGGAATCTTGGATTTGAAGTATGAAAGAAATAATACACGAAGTCTGTAACATCTGTGCTCCATCCCACCTTCCACTGATATTTTCTTGCAAGGATCGAGATTCTTGTGGCAATCATAATTTTCATGAACCCACAGCCAGAGAATGGGAGGTTCTGAGAGGGAATTGGATCTGGGTTACTTAATGTAGTTTTAGTGTGCAGTAATTAACATAGGCATGTCTTCATGATAGCTTTGCCCCCCCCAGCAGCAGAGTATTTGCTTTTAACAAACTCTCTAAGGATATCAAAGCTAATGTTTCAGATCAAACATAAACACACATGCATTATAACCTGACAGTTCTTTTAAAGTACTTTAAAACAAAATAGGATCTTGAACATTTTTTTTTTGGTAATTATTTCTCAATCCTTGGGAGCTCTGACTTGCATTTTGTGCCATTCGAGCGCCTTGAGAATTGTTTGCAACAGAGGGACTGTTTTGCTGATTTATAATGTTCTGAACTTTGCCTGAAATTGCACATCGACTTTATTTACCCCTCCCCCTCTTGAGCTCCTTCGAACTGAAAATCGAATTCTAATTAGTTTCTCTTAACAGACATTTTAGAGAAGGATCGGTGTCATAATAAAGCATGTGATGGGGAACTTGCCCCGACTAAGAGAGAGCTAATATTCCAGGGCCAGGATGGGGGCAGTCCAGCTGGGGGGGGGGGGGGGGAGGGGTGCTGGAGCGGTGCCAGGCCAGCCTGTGAGCTGGAAGCCTAGTATGGCAGAAACGTGGGATTAGGGCTATGTCAGAACTTATGTTGCAAACTAGGTCCCTGTGTCACAGGCATAGGCCCAAATGGCTTTTAAAGATCAGCTGCGATTAATGTTTGGTGTGAAATTAACATCATCAGTTTAAAGTGTAGCTCGACAAATGGTGGTTTGCTTGATCTGTCCCATGTTTTCCCCCACATTACTTCTGGGGGAAAAAGATGAAGAACAGATGAGAATATTTTGGTTGTTTTTTGATCTCCCCTTTATGTCATTATTTAGGTTGTTTTTCTGGTTCCTAAAATGTTGGGGCTTAAGCTTCTGTTCTGTGGTGTGGGTTTGATTCTTGGCAGGGGGGGGGGGGGGGTGGGGGGTGGGGGTGGGGGGGGTGGGTAAGGGTATGTCGTGTCTTATTGGAAATCAGCTACTGTCCTTTGACCATGACTAATTTGATATTTTCCTTCCTTTTGCCCTAGTCCCTCTTCTCCATAAATATTCATGTGCTCACATGCACACCACACATACATGCACATACAGAGAAATGCTTAAACTGAAACTTGAGAGTCTTCCATGCTGCTTGCAAACCTGTATTGTTAATATTAACATCTAGTTATTACTACCAAAATAGAAAGAACTGAGTAGAGTAGAAAATAAACAAAAAAAAGAAAAAAAATTGCCCTTGTATTAAAAAATTCATGTTTCTTTTCACTTCTTTATGCATATATTTTTGTAATCATAGTCTAGATGCAATTCTGTATCATCTCTTTCATTTATATGTGTGTTTTAATGTTGTTAAATAGCCTGTTTTTATTTTAAATGGTCGCATGATTTTTTTTTAACCATTTCCATATTGTTACACATCCTGTCTCCTCCCTTTGGGGCCTGTAGTAGACTTTTTGTTCATATAACTTTTCATTTGGGGAATTAATTCTTATTCTGAAAAAAAGTAGCCTTAATAGGTCAGACTATGGGTGTTTTTATATATTGCCAAATTGCTTTCCATAAGAGTTGTACTAATTCACAATATCCCACTCACCCCAGGGTGTGATGTACGTATTTCACTTTCTTACCAGTTTTAGGAACTGTCATTAAAAGTATATATTTTTGAAATTACAGCCTATAAAATATACCTCATTTAAATATATGAATATCTTATCTTCAGAAGGTCATTATAATTATGTGTCCTTTGAGCTCCTGAGTCCGTTGTAAAAACTGATGACCAGATAGTGCTCCTGGAGCACTGGGATCCTCAAGTGGACCATGAATATAAAACTGCATTGCATTTAGTAATTTTATTGGGATTTTACATTTATTTGCTACACCTAATAAGCCTCATGCTGTTTCTGTACAGGAAATGAGAGTCTCACATCTGCAAATTGCTCAGTAGTATTGTTTGGATTTTACTTTTCGTGTTTAGTTTGACAATGAATTTGGAATTGGTAGGCAGGAAAAAACAGTCTTCTCACCTTTACCGTGTGAATGTTTTATATGAATTTAAGGCAGGGTTTGCTTGGATCAGTGGTTCTTAAGCTGGAGTGAACATCAGAATCACCTAGAAACACAGAGGACTGGCCCACCCCAGAGTTCCTGACTTAGTCGGTCTAGGCTTGGATGGAGAACTTCCCTTTCTAACAGGGCCCCAGCTATGCCGATGCTGCTGGATCCGGGACTGTACTCTTAAGATCTCGTGTTAAAATGGAATGCAGTAAATCAGTTGCCCCAGGATGCCGTCGGATCCTGTCCGAGCAGATGTCCGTGCCTTGTCCTGATACTTTAGGTCAGTGGTCGGCAAACTCATTAGTCAACAGAGCCAGATATCAACAGTACAACGATTGAAATTTCTTTTGAGAGCCAAATTTTTTAAACTTAAACTATATAGGTAGGTACATTGTTATTAACTTAATTAGGGTACTCCTAAGCTGGCCTTTGCTAAAATAATAATAAAGCCACCAACACAAAATAATTACAATTCTTAAATTGATGGCAAAAATACCTGTAGGATTTGCAGCTGGTTGGAAAAATACAGGTAACTTTATGCTTCGAGTAGGTACTTTTGTCACCCGCGCGCGATTTGTGGACACGACTAGCACTAACCACTGCACAATGAGACTGCTGACTGACTGGCCCACTCAGCTCGTGCATGAATCTCGCGCGCCTCCCCTGCGCTGTATCCCGCGGCCCACCTGCACCGTGTCTCCCGTTGCCCGACCGACCGACCGACCGACACCCCCCACTTCTTCTAACGCCACTTCTTCAAAATAGACTCGCCCAGGCCGAAAACCGACTTCTGCGCATGGGCCACGAAGTTTCAATCGCACTGTACTGCACGCCCGCACATGGTATTTTGTGGAAGAGCCACACTCAAGGGGCCAAAGAGCCGCATGTGGCTCGAGAGCCTCGGTTTGCCGACCACTGCTTTAGGTGAAACTTGCGTTCCCTTTCAAGCTTCTAAGGGGTTTATTTCTCCCTTAAGAGTCTTAGTCTTAGCCTTTCTTTCTAGATTTTTGCTACATCTCTGGCAGTATTCTTCTTTTCCTCTGTTTATAGTCCTGCAGATGCATTTGTTTCTGGTTACCTGAGTTCAGTGCAGTGTGAGGAGAGGACTTTATGTAGGGATTCAGTAGATACATGGGGACGTTGTAACTGGATTAGTGCCTTTTAGCTGTGGTCTGATCAGAAGGTCTTCCAGGCACCCCTCAGCGTGTGCCCTCTTGAGTTTAGAAGTCCTTCCTCTGGAGCTTCGGCCTTCGGTGGGAGACCTTGTGTACAGAAACTCCATACTTCTGTTGCGCTGATACTGTGGTCGTCTGCTCATGGATTTAAAATCTAAATACAATAATCTTTACTGTCCAGCACACATTTCCCTACAGCATCTCCTTAGCACACAGTCTCCTGTATGTTTTAACACAGAGTTTCATTGTGATTTACATGCCATATAAATTTGTCATTTCTGTGACCGATGTACCTCACTATTATCAATAACGCAGTGATTCTTCAAAGGACCCAGAGGAAATCCGGTGCTAGGGTTCCCATCAGAATGTACAGTGGAATTTTTGAAAAGGCAGTGTCCCTAGATGGTACAGGGACTGTATTGTGTTTGGTTGCCACACACACTGTGGTGTGTTTCTGTCTCTCCTTGCTGTGTTTCCCCTCAGGGCCAAAGCCCGGCACATGGACACCTCTGAGGTGGCACCCTCTGTACAGTTGTGCAGATTCTCCCGGGCCCACCAGAGGCAGAGAAATACAGTCATTAACTGGCTCTGAAATTATACTCTCTGACTTGATAACTAACATAAGTTTCATCATCCAAAAAATATTGATAACAATAGTATCCACTTCAATGAGTTCTCATGATTAAATGAGATAGTTCTCATGATTAAATGAGATAACACATGTAAAGCACCCGGTGCGTGTCTGGCATATGGTAAGTGCTCCACTGGCATCATTACTGTTCCACTGGGGACGGGTGAGTGGCGGAGGTCACACGTGTGCTGGCAGAGCTCGGTTGCCCTTTCCCCACCTTTCCTTGAGCTAATCCTTCTGATACTACATGTGTTTCTCTCAGTGCCCACAGCGGGGCTGTGTGGACACACTCCTGTTTCACTGTTACTGGCTTTATTTTGTGATGGAATCCATTGTTAAAATGAGTCAAAAAATACTTGTGTCTCATAGAAAAAAATGTTGCTTGGCTAAACTGTATGGGGTGGGGACTAGAAAATATTTATTAATAAGCTTATGTTTGGCAATTTAGAAATCCTCAAAGCTTTGAAACCCCAAAACATTTTTATAACTTATTTGGCAGAACATATGAGCTGAACTCATTTAGGAGTTAGGCTTGACCTAAATTGACATGCGTCTGTCTGTGGCCTTTATTTTATTTAGTGTGACTGTTCATATATTTCTGCAGGAATGTGTTTGGCAGTGGGGTATTCCTCTGACTCTGCTAGGGTAGCACATAAAGGTAGTGTGTGCCTCTTACTACCATTGTAAAATGTAAAAAGCTCCAATTTCTGAAAGCATATCTAACCTCAAGGGTTTGGATAGAGGATTGTGGACATATAATCAATATTCATTTAACTAATATGTATTTAGTGTCTATAATATGCTTGGTAGAGTGTTACGCTCTGGGAAACAGTTGAGCAAAAAAAAAGAAATATCCAATTTAAAGGTACGCACATTTTCGTCGAACACATTTTTATAAATTAATAGTATAAGCCACTATGGTTGAAGTACACAAGGTGATGACTGAGTGCAGGGTGGACAGTGAACTTGGCCAAAGGCCTGGAGTATTGGCAGCAAGGTGGGAGGGCCTCTGAAGACAGAAGCATGAACTGAGTCATAAATGAGATGAGTAGGACCTACTCAGGTGGACCAGCTTGGGAGCATGTGCAGGTGGAAATGAGAAATAACATCAGACAATGATGATGATTGGTATCCCAGGCAAAAGGAAGAGCTGTGGGGAGTCGTAAAGGTGTCCTATTGATGCAACTGTAAGTAATTCCTGAGGCTGATGCCCAGGTACATGAAGGCAGGCAGTGGTGTGGGATGGTTGTTACTGGGCAATGAGCACCAACCATCCCATGGGCAACGCTGATGGCATACACGTAGAGGAGGGACACAATGAGCTTTTCCCTTAGTTTTCTCCTAAAGATATATTGCTGGGGGCAGAGGCATATGGTGGAGGTGAGGACCTGAAGCAGAGAGACCTGTAGGTCCCAGATGCAGCAGTCAAGGGGGTAGGAGATGGGGGCCCTGGGGAGGGTCTCAGGCCTTGGGGAGGGTCACCAGGAAAGCCTTGTTTCTGGAGACGAGCATTTTGGGAAGACCTCTCTGGCATGTCATGCTTTTTTGAAGTACTGTGGACTTCCTTGTTTATCTGAACATCAGCTTCAAGATTTGTACTTTAGAAGTGTTGGAACTGAGTCATGGCAGTAAGGGGTTGAGCCAGAGCCAAGCAGCAAATTAATGGTAGGGATATTGGTTGGTAAAGATATATTTGTCCCAGAAAAGAGAAAACTTTCCATTAGACATACGCCCAGGAACAAATGATTGTATAATTGAGATACACAAGCCAAAGGTTGTGGGGGAGTGGGTAATGAATAATGCCTCTGATTTCTTTCGTGTGGCCCTTTGAGTCACACCAACAACTTGACATGGAAAAGCAAGGCTTGGCTCAGCTCCCCCTTCCTTGACCCCCACGCAAGAGCTCCTCTTCCCTGCATTTTTGTGCCTTTTGTTGTTTGTACCACACATTTGGCACTTGAAGTGCTTTGTATTTTTAGTCACTTTTCCAGAATTCATGCTGGCTCACGATTTGGCAGTTTGTTCATTGGGTGTTGTCTTTAAAGGACATCAAGTTCACTTTTTTCTTTGCCTGGCTACCAGATTGTTTGTCACTTTCTGGCAGAAGCGAGGAACAGTTGTACCTGACTTCCTATCTTAACACAAATCATTTCACAGTCTGGCCTTGACCTGTTCTCTCTCATTCTCTTTTTATTTTATAAGAATGATTTAAAAAAATGTTTTTATTGATTTCAGAGAGAGGAAGGGAGAGGTAGAGAGCGATAGAAACATCAATGATGAGAATCATTGATCAGCTGCCTCCTGCACGCTAGGGATCCAGCCAGCAACCTGGGCATGTTCCCTGACCAGGAATTGAACCGTGACCTCCTGGTTCGTGGGTGGATGCTCAACCACTGAATCACACCGGTGGAGCTTGGCCTGTTCTCTTCACTACCCATGTGCACCCGATTTCAGCCACAGAGACTTCCTTCCATCTCTCCAGCTCTGAGGATGAGTGTCCTTTGTAACTCCTTATCTTTGCCCCACTCCCCTGACCCCCACACCTGGAATGCCCCCTTTCCTTGGTGTTTTCTCTTCCTCATCCTTTTCTCTGCCTTGAAAACTCATTATTATGTCTGCCCAAGCCCTAGCTTCTGGAAAGCTTACTTATACTTCAGTAACATCCAATTATCTGGTTCTTAATAAACCACACAGGTGTTTTCTTCTCTGAGTACCATGTCCCTGCCCCTGCCCCCTCTCCCTGCCCCTACCTCTAACGCTAGTTTGATTTATTTACTTTCTCATCTCCCTTTTCTCTTTTCCTGCTCCTCATCACCCACATTGCATCTTTTTCATTTTTGTATCCCTAGGGCCAAACAAAACCTCTGGTGCACACAGTTTAATGGATCAGAATGGTATGAGTAAAGTTAGGAACCAACAAGTAAAAATATAGTGATGGTTTCTAATCTATCTTTGCCTCTTAAGATATAAAGTAAGTAGTGAAGGGAAAAAAAATTCAGACTTTAAAAAACAACACCACAAAGAGCAGGGCTAGTCCTCCTCCTCCTCCTCACTAGACATTGAGTTCCCTGAAAACCAGGAGCATGTCTTACACTTTTATCACCCTCACTATTTAACGTGGTGTTCCACACTTAGTAGATACAGAATGTACTTTGTATTGCTTGAAATAATTGCTTTCCTTCACCAGAGGGAATTTCACATGGTGGCCAGAGTTTAATCCCAGGTGTATTTTATTCTGGAGAAGCATGACCAGTGTCAGATGGAAACAATCAACAGTTGACCGATATTTGAAGAAAGAGGCGTGACTAAGTCCCAGGCATAATCAATTAGATGGTCTTTGTTTTTAAACTTGATTCCTTTTGTTAAAACATGGGGGCATTTAATAAAGTTAAAATATGGTAAATATAAACATAAGGGGAAACCTCAGCTTTATAAAGTGAAATTCATTGTTGGGTATCACTTTTAAAAATCCTGCCATGCTTTTTTCTTTTGCATTTAAATAGTAGGAAAATTCAACTGGTGTTATTGTTCACAATCACATAACCCTTTCCAAACTAGCCAGGCAAATTACCACAAATAGCTAGCTGTTATTCTAGATTTTTAAAAAGAATTAAACCAGGTTATTAAGTATATTCTCTTTCAGAAAAATTGAGAGATGGGGAAGGGTACCTCTTATTCCCCTTCACCCATCCACCCACCCACCTTTTCTCTGGCAACCATCAGATTGTTCTCTGTATCTTTGAGTCTTTCAGTTTTGTCTTCTGGAGTCCACATAAAATTGAAGTCATATGGTATTTGTCTTTCTCTGTCTGCTTATTTATTTAGCATAATACCCTGTAGGTCCATCCATGTTGTTGCAAATGACAAGGTACCTTTTTAATCGCTGCTTTATTGCTGTGCCCAGAACAGGTGGATCTGCCATGTTGGCCCCTCAGTGATATATCTTCCTACTGCAGGTCACCCTCTCTGGTAGGGTTCCCACGGGGACCACGTCTCCGTCTCTCCTACTCTTCCTTTTGTGGTTCCTCTCTCGTTTGGTGTGTAGAGCTGTTTAATCAGCCCTCGGTTGTTCTTCAGGAGGAATTGCTCTATGTGTAGGCATATGTTTGGTGTGTCCCTCGGATGAGGTGAATTTGAGGTCTTCCTATGCTACTGTCTTGGATCCCCCATCCCCAGATGATAAAGTAAAAAATTTTTCTATTTGTGGAATTACTCTTTCTTCTGAAAAATAAGCAGTTGGTGTAATTTTGTTGAAATTAACCACTTTCATATTTACTTGGGAATAAGAGAAGAGTTTATCCTTCTCAGTCATTCTTGTTTTTCTCAAATGACTACCCTTCTCTACATTTTGTGCTCTAATCTGAGAGTAAATAATTGAGCCATCAGTGAGCTATATCTGGCAATTAGCATGTACTCAGTCCACGTACAATGGATGAATAAGGAAATTTATAATTTGTATTAATTACCTGCATCCTCTCAATAGGAGGAATTACTTTATAGCAAGGACTTTTTTCCTAATCATAATAAAAAGATGTATTTTGATAATGTTCTTGGATTATTTGCCTGTAGCTCTAGTTTGTGGGTAACATTTTATTTCTATTATGGTCTGAAACTACTAGATTCGTGTCAAAAAATGTCGTGTCTTTTTTTGATCACCAAAGGAATTTTTGTCTTGGATCTTACAGAGCTGTTTATATACACTCTCGGAGCATTCTGTTAATTGTAATTACATGAGAAGTAGTCACAGTTTCTTGTAACAATTATTTTTCCTCCAGTTTCTCTGCAGGGCATCTATTTATTGCCTTGTTCTCCACTTATTTTAAGACCTACCTGTAGGTTTCAGAATCTCCTTGAAGTGTGAGAAAGGTGATGAGGAGGGTGATCAGTACTTTTCCTGTCACATTATAATGTGATACCATCAATAAAACCCCCGAGGGAACCTCTACTCTCTTGCTAAGCCAATAATTCTTGTCCATGTGTGCAGGTATTGTGGAAGATTACAAGCCACCATTCTATGATGTGGTTCCCAATGACCCAAGTTTTGAAGATATGAGGAAGGTGGTCTGTGTGGATCAACAGAGGCCAAACATACCCAACAGATGGTTCTCAGACCCGGTAAGAACCACTTTCTTCGTTTTACAGCTGTCCTCAGCTGTTTGCTTGCTCTTGTGTTTCATCTGGTATGGTTCTTAAGTCATCTGCCTCAACTACCTATTGCTTTCTCTCCCTATTTTATGCAGAAGGCCTTAGATCTAGTTAAGTAGGTACAGAAAATTGTCTCTTTCTTGAAAGAGCCATAGCTGATAGATCTTGCTAACGACTGACAGTATTCACAAAAATTTCTATTACTGATGAGCTTCAGAAATTGGGAGTCTCATTACTATACCACTGGCCCTAGGACTGTAGTTTCATGTGTAAACCAAGACACTGAGTGATGCTTTTAACTGTTTTGTTTTTTCCATCTCTGCATATCTGAAATTGCAAACATAAGTTATTCAATGCTGAAAGCCCTTATGTCTGCTCTGTAGTAGCAAATCTAAGACATTGAGAAATCACCCTTTCTGCACATTTCAGTTTTAACTCTGGGTTAGTATTGCCATTTGTAGCACCCATAAAACCATCAAGGGATTTAGCCTGACCTATGTAATTGACTTGATAAAGTCATTGGGTATTCTAAGCCGTCCAAAGGACAGATGCCATGAAACTCAAGAGTGGCTTTTTTATTAGTGGTCAAGGCCTCGATTATTGGTTTAAAAAAGATGGCAATGACACCACTTTAACTTCACAAGACCTAGAGCTCTGCAACATAACTAATACATCTGCCCAGCTTCTCGGTCCCCAAAAGACCACTTTTTCACTGTGGTGTTTGCTCCTTCTCTCCGCAGACATTAACTTCTCTGGCCAAGCTGATGAAAGAATGCTGGTATCAAAATCCGTCCGCAAGACTCACAGCTCTGCGTATCAAAAAGACTTTGACCAAAATTGATAATTCCCTAGACAAATTGAAAACTGACTGTTGACATTTTCATGGTGTCAAGAAGGAAGATTTGACGTCGTCATTGTCCAGCTGGGACCTAATGCTGGCCTGACTGGTTGTCAGACAGAATCCATCTGTCTCCCTCCCCAGATGGCTGCTTCGACAAGGCAGACATCTCACCCAGCCACGTGTTGGGGAGACACCAAAACCACCCTAACCTCGCTCAATGACTGTGAACTGGGCATTTCACAACTGTTCACACCGCAGAGACTGATGTTGGACAGACACTGTTGCAAAGGTAGGGAACTGGAGGAACACAGAGAAATCCTAAGAGAGATCTGGGCATTAAGACAGTGGCTTTGCATATCTTTCACAAGTCTCCTAGACACTCCCCACGGGAAATTCAAGGAGGTGGTGAATTTTTAATCAGCAATATTGCCTGTGCTTCTCTTCTTTATTGCACTAGGAATTCTTTGCATTCCTTACTTGCACTGTTACTCTTAATTTTAAAGACCCAACTTGCCAAAATATTGGCTGCATACTCCATTGGTCTGTCTTTGGATAATAGGAATTCAATTTGGCAAAACAAAATGTAATGTCAGACTTTGCTGCATTTTACACATGTGCTGATGTTTACAATGATGCTGAACATTAGGAATTGTTTATACACAACTTTGCAAATTATTTATTACTTGTGCACATAGCAGTTTTTACAAAACTGCTCTGTGCATATGTTAAAGCTTATTTTTATGTGGTCTTATGATTTTATTACCGAAATGTTTTTAACACTATACTCTGAAATGGACATTTTCTTTTATCCTCAGTTAAATTCACATTTTAAGTGCTTCACATTTGTATGTGTGTAGACTGTAACTTTTTTTCAGTTCATATGCAGAACGTATTTAGCCATTACCCATGTGACACCACTGAATATATTACTGATTTAGAAGCAAAGATTTCAGTAGAATTTTAGTCCTGAACGCTGTGGGGAAAATGCATTTTCTTCGGAATTATCCATTATGTGCATTTAAACTCTGCCAGAAAAAAAAATAACTATTTTGTTTTAATCTACTTTTTGTATTTAGTAGTTATTTGTATAAATTAAATAAAATGTTTTCAAGTCAAGAAGTGAATTATATTGAGTGTATAAAAAAGATCTAGATAATGTAGAGCATTTTCTTATGGGAACAATAGAAAAACATCATAAATCGAATTTGCTTTTCAAGTCCAGTAATGAACTTGAGGGGTTTTTCTATGAGGATGTTTCCAGCTTGAATTTGGTATCAAGATAATTTGAATTTTGTTTGTTTCTTTTTTTGGCTGTGATTTTTTTTATTGCTCAAAAAATAACTGACCCGCCTTCCTAACAAGATGGTTGTGAGTAGAAATGGGAGGGAGTATGTGAAAGCATTTTGTTTAGTATGTGGCCATATGCGAGTGGAAAGCAGTCTTACCCATCTCACCATATGTTTGAGGGGAGTCCATTGTTGGCTTTTTTCACTTAACTCTGTTCAACAAGATTGAAAAGATTGGGTTTAGAGTATCCCCAAAGGGGAAGAAGTGTGAAGATTCTGAAAAGTTCACCAGAGGTAAGTTAACAATACATTTACCTGCATTATTATCCTATATAATAAAACCCTAATATGCAAATTGACCCAAAGGTGGAACAACCAGTCGCTATGACTCGCACTGACCACCAGGGGGCAGATGCTCAATGCAGGAGCTGCCCCTTGGTGGTCAGTGTGCTCCCACAGGGGGAGCGCCGCTCAGCCAGAAGCTGGGCTCATGGCTGGCAGGAACCTCTCCCGCCGTGGCAGGCAGACAGGTGGTAAGAATCGAGAGGTCCTGGTCTGCAAGAATGCATGAATGTCATGCACCGGGCCTCTCTTGTATTTAAAAAATTGTGGTAAAATACAGATATAAAATTTATCATCTTAATCATTTAAATGTACAGCTTGAGGGTTGTGCTGCCATCTCACTATCCATCCCCAGAACTCTTCTTCTTGCAAAACTAAAACTGTACTGATTAAACAATAGGTCCCTCTTCCTTAGTCTCTGGCAACTGTCAACCTATTTTCTGTCTCTATGAGTTTACTCTAAATACTTCATATGAGTGGAATCATACAGTATTTTTCCTTTCATGGGAGACTGGCTTTTTCACTTAGCATAATGTCTTCAAGGTTCATTCTTATTGTAGCATATATTAAAATTTACTTCTTTTTATGGCTGATAATATCCCATTTGTATGTATATACAACATTTTGTATATCCATTCATCTGTTGATGGGCAGTTGGGTGTCTTCCACTTTTTTAGCTATTCTGAAAATGCTGCCATGAACATTGGGTGTATAAATATTTCTTTGAGTTCTTGCTGTCAATTCTTTTGGCTGTATACCCAAAAGTAGGATGAAGTCGCATTTAACTTTCATTGAAGTATTACATATGTAAGACTATACATATATAGAAGTGTACAGCTTGATGCATTTTTATCAATTTTATATATTGGTTGCACCAGATCAAGCAGCAGAACATTGGCTTCTCTAGAGTGTCAGCCTCATGGCAGCATGAGTCATTTCTTTTTGATTTATAAGTAACTGGACATCCACTACAGAACAAAAGTGCCTCTGCACATTACACTAGGACTCCTGGCAACTTTGACCCACCCATGCACCTGAATGTGGGTGGATCAGACCTCGGAGGAGGGAGATTTGCTGTGGATACAAAGGATTTAGTGAGCCTACCCAACACCCACGTGCCATGATTGGGAAAGGGAGAATGCCAAACTGGGCAGACACTCTTGGGCGATAGAAATTTTGTAGAGGTCCACCAACCTGGCAGGAGAGTCTGGCATGCCATAGGAGGTAGATGGAAATTAGCTTGGAGGTGGGGGAGCTCACTGAGGTGCCCCCTTCCCCAAGGAGACATTGCAAAGCACAGCATCCACCTCTCTGCCATAGGAGGTGGAGAGTGAAAGTAGCGAGTGACAGACTGCTTGGCTGCATGGGTTGCAGCTGGAGGGACCTGTTTCTCTCTAGCAATACCTGAATTACTGAGGAGGGCTCTCTGAGAGGGGGTTGAGGGGGTGGAAGGAAATTTGGGACTTCAGCAGGAGGTCCACCCACAGACCTCTGGGACTACCCAACTCATGGGTCATTCTCTTGGGCTATGGGTACCCCCAAAGCCTCAGAAACAAAGTCTATACCTCCCAACATGCTGCTGCCAGCTGTCTTTGTGCCCTGTCAGAGGAGGGCGGCCCGGAGAGCCTGCTCAGGTAAGAGAAACCAAAACCTTGAGTTATAGCACCACCTTCTGGAATACAAAAAGTGGTTTTTAATTACCGACCTGTTGAGCTGTAACAGCCAAAGTAAACAAATCCTTCACTAAGGAAAATGAATGCTACTTCAAATGTGAAAGCCGAAGTGCATGACACTATGAAAAATATCAAAGCATGACTTTCGGTCTAGGTGGCAGGGTAGGTAAACATTGTGCTCGCCTCTTCCCACAACCACATCGAAATTACAGCTAAATTATAGAAAAACTACCACTGAGAACCACATGAAGACAAGCTGAACAGAAGTCCTATAACTAAGGATAGAAAGAAGCCACATCCAGATTGGTAGGGGAGCAGTGGCAGAATGGGCGGGTCTCACACCCATAGTGGCAATTAAGAATCTGGAGGGATATCTTGGTTACAGAGGTCTCCCCTGAGGACTGAGGGGTTCCAACTTCCAGTGCCAGGAAGAGGAGTCCTCATAACTTGGGTGTGAAAACCAGTGGTCATTACGTCTGGGAGACAGAGGGCTGCTGGAGACCTAGGGATCCTCTTGAGGGCCCATTCATGGACTCACACATGAACTCACCCGCTCTGGGCTCCAGCACAGGAGCAACAGCTCAGAAGGTACCAGGGACGTATGGGAACTGACAAGGGCTACAAGACAAGGGCTGGCGGGACAGGGGTCAAGGCAGCTCTCTGGGATGGAAGCGCTGGCAGACACCATTGTTCCCTTGTTGAATGCTCCTTCCACTCACCCTGCAGGCCCAGCTGGTGCCAAATCTGAGCTCCTCATTCACCTGGCTAATGCTTTCTTCCCTGGTGATTCTCTGAGATCCCGTCCCACCTAACTTGTGCACCTGGCCCAAACCTCTTCCGATAGCAGCTCCACAAAAGCTGCTTGCCTTGCTTCATGCTGTGGACTATCTCAAAGGCCACAAACCCCAAACAAGTAGTGGCTGGCCTCAGCATCCCCTGTACCTCTTTCTAAGTGGCCTCAACCCTAGCACAAGTGGTGACCTGTCTTAACTTACATTGTAACTCCCATCAGTTGGCCACAAGGCTGGCATAAACAGCAGCCAGTCTTGACTTGGGACGTAGCTTCAAATAATTGGCCAAAGCCCGGCACAAGTCGCAGCCGGCCTCAGCTCACATTGTGGTGCCTACCAAAGGGTCCCAAGTCTAGCACTAGTAGCAGCAGCCTTGGTTTGCAGCATAGCCTCTCCTTAGTGCCTTCAAGCCCAGCATAAGCAGCAATAAATTACATATCACTTTGTATCTACTGCCAGGTAACCCCAAACTAGTTAAAAGCTGTGGCTGATCTTGACTTGCTCTGGAGCCCCTCCAAAGAGGCTCCAGAACCAACACACCTAGTAGGTAGCCTATACAATAAGAGCACCACCCAACAAACTACACATGACACACTTGAGGGCAGACTAGGTTGGCACCAGAGAGCTCTTCTGCTATAGTCACAGCAAGTCCTCACAGCCAGTCAGCCTGAGGGTCAGTCCACTTACCCCCACACAAAGGACACCTCCGGAGCACCTGGCTCAGGTGACATGGGAGACTGCACCACCGGGCCCCACAGGACACCTACTACCTAAGATCACAAAGACAAGACTGGGAGATATAGTAGATTTGCCTAGTACATAGAAACAACACACACAGGGATTCAGCCAAAATGAGGAGATAAACATGTCCCAAATGAAATAACATGACAAAGCTCCAGGAAAAGAAGTGAAATGCAGAGAAGCAGTCAACCAGATACAGAGTTCAAAACCCTGGTTTTAAGGATACGCATGAACTTAGGAGAAGAAAGGAACTCACTGAGAACTTCAACAAAGACAAAACATTAAAAAAAAAAAACACAACAAAAACTATTCAGCCCTAACCGGTTTGGCTCAGTGGATAGAGCATCAGCCTGCAGACTGAAGGGTCCCAGGTTCGATTCTGGTCAAGGACATGTACCTTGGTTGAGGGCACATCCCCAGTAGGGGGCGTGCAGGAGGCAGCTGATGGATGTTTCTCTCTCATCGATGTTTCTAACTCTCTATCCCTCTCCCTTCTTCTCTGTAAAAAATCAATAAAATATATTTTTTAAAAAACTATTCAGAAATGAAAAACAATTGGAATGAAGAATACATTAGAGGGAATGAATAGCATATTAAATGAAGCAGAGGATCAAATTAGCAATGTGAAAGACAAAGTAGTGGAAAATACACTATCAGAAAGCCAAGAAAAGAAAATAATAATAATAATAATAATAATGGTAGTTTAAGGGACCTCTGGGATAACACCAGGTGTAACATTAGCATCACAGGGGTACTAGAAGGAGAAGAAAGAAAGGAATTGAAAACCTATTTAAGAAATAATGACTGAAAACTCCCCTAATTTGGTGAAGGAAATAGATATACAAGTCCTGGAATTGCAGAGAGTCCCAAACAAGGTGAACCCAAAGAGGCCCACACCAAGGTACATCATAATTAAAATGCCAAAAGTTAAAGACAAAAAGTAGCAAGAGAAAAACGGTAGTTACAAGGGAGCTCCCATAAAACTATCAGCTGATTCTTCAACAGAAACATTGCAGGCCAGAGGAGATTGGCACAAAATATTCAAAGTGACAAAAAGAGCTAGAACCAAGATTACCCAGCAAGGCTATCATTTAGAATTGAAAGAGAGAGAAAAGAAATCATTTCCCAGACAAGAAAAAGCTAAGTAATTCATCAATACTAAACTAGTGTTAAAGAAATGTTAAAGGTTTTCTTTAAGTAGAAAAGATCAGAAATATGAACAAGAAAATATAGGAAAGAAAAAAAAAATCTCACTGACAAAGACAAACAGTAAAATCTACTTG